GTTCTCTAACTCACTACCCTTGCTCTGATGGAATGCTCACCCAGCAACTAACTATAATTTAGATATACATACAAATATGCCAACAAAAAGCAAATATGATCAGCAACACAAATGAACTTATTTCTCATTGCATAGTGACAAACTGACTTTTTGATTTTTATACCAGTTCTCTTTGGAATTGGTTGACTAAGTCGGCTCCTGAGATTCTGGGAACAGTAGAGAAAACTGGGTTTTCAGGTCTAAGGGACTCTGCCAGGGAAGTAAATGGTCTTCCCTAAGCTACCTTGTCTCTAACTGTAGTACAATGTATTTATCTTTATAAACTAATGAAATTGAAGAATTAAGGATAATGATAACAGAAGAGCCTAACTGATTCCATTTATATGAAACTCTCAAAAAGCCAGAGAAATCTAGAGACACAAAGCAGGTCAGTGGTTCCCTGGGACTGGAAAAGCAGGGTAGGATAGGGGTGGGAAGTTGATTAGAATAGAGCATCTGGAACTTTCTGGGGTGATGAATATGTTTTATATATTTTTATCATGGTGGTGGTCACATAGTGACATACTTAGACATACCAACACTTAAAATAATTACCCTTTGTGTCTGTTAACTGTATCTCAATAAAGTTGATTTAAAAAAATGGGATCATGAAGGAACATCCTCTTTCAACCCCCCCCCGCCACCCAAATCCCCTTCCTGTATGAGATTTTTTCCATGATCACTAATTTCCAGAAATTTATTTTATTTTATTTTATTTTATTTATTTATTTATTTTTTTTAAACATTTTATTTATTTATTTGAGAGAGAGAGAATGAGAGACAGAGAGCACAAGAGGGAAGAGGGCAGAGGGAGAAGCAGACCCCCTGCCGAGCAGGGAGCCCGATGTGGGACTCGATCCCGGGACTCCAGGATCATGACCTGAGCCGAAGGCAGTCGCTTAACCAACTGGGCCACCCAGGCGCCCCAGAAATTTATTTTATGAAGGACATGAGAATAAGTAATAAATAGAACGTCGTGCAGATTTTCCTCTTAGTTTATGCTAGTAATAAAAACGCTTCAATTTAAAAACATTTCAATCCACTGTACCCTGAAGGGTAAAAAAGGAAGCAGTTCTCAATCTAAGAGCATTTCTCTCTCCCATTAATGAGGGATTCAGGTTGCAGCATGATACTGAGACTGCTAAGGGTGAGCATGTACCCAACTGGCTTCAATGAAGCCCTCTGCTTACTACTATCTTGAGCTTCAGTTAGTAAAACTGCAATACAATGTGACATTTGTCTTTCCTCCAGTGCTTTTCTGTCCAAGATTTGAACAAAATTAAGTCAGCCCGATTTACTCAGTCTAGTTCTCGATCCTAACACAGTTCTGGATGTTTCTTCCTCAAAGAGCAAGTGTGTGTATATTCCGGCTAGCATGAAAATCCTCTTCCTCCCCACTTCAAGGTGCAGAACCCTGAACATAGCTAACTACCAGGAACCTATTCTATGTGTCCCTACACACATTTTAAAGCTAAAACTTCCAAAAACTCAACCATAAGCATGTGAAAAGCCCTTCAAAATTACTATATTTAACAATTACTACCAGGTAAAGACTGTAACATCCCTTCAAGTTTTTTTGACCACAAATCACTGCACACATAACATAGAAAAAAGTAACTGAAACAAAATTTCCATGAAGGCTTATCTTTATGTAACATAAGCTGCACATTGTTATTTCCTATTGTATTATAAAAAATTAGCATTACCCACTAAATTGATTTCACAACTCAACAAATGGGTCCTGATCTGTGTTTGATAAAAGACCAGAGAACAAAGGACTGTCCAGCTTCCCTACTGTCTGAGGGAATTCCAGATTGGAGTTCCTAATTTGCTCCTTGTCTCCACTAATGAGGCATCATTTGCCAGTCACCATTCTGAAGGTTTTATAAATAAAAAGAAAACTCTGACGAAGATCCTAACTTCAAAGAGTCTTTACGTTTGGTAAAGAAGAAAAAAGCTATACCGGAACCCTAAGAGAGAAACAAAGTCAAACAGTAGCAGGGAGAACAGACATTTCTTCTACCTGGGGATAGGTAAGTCAAGGAAGGCTTTAGGAAAATGTGGCACCTGACGCGGTCCAAAGTGTGAGAAGGATTTATACATGGGATGATGTGGGAGGGGGTGGAGTACTCTAAATGAAGAGACAGCATAAAAACAAGGACAGAGAAATTTCAGGATATAAACAGCAGATTAAAAGGCCCCATGTCAAGAGAAAGCTAGAGGCCAGAATACTATCTCTTTAAATTCTAGGCAAAGAAGTTCTTCTGCAGACAGGTGGAGGCTCTAGAGATGTCTAGCACAACAGCAACCAGACTATAATTTGTAACTGCTTTTTAGAAAAAAATCTAGTGAAAAATGCCTGGTGGTTTTAAAGAGGCTAGATATATCCATTTTTACATACCAAGGTTTAAAGAATATTCAGAAAACAAATATAAATGTTCTAAAAAATACCTTAGACATGCTATCCCATCTATTAATGTGGATAATGTAATAATCAAAATGACTTTAACAACATGATTTAAACAATGAGAAATGCATTCTAAAAAGTGAAAACAAAACAAAAAAAAGTCTCCAAAGTTTTAGTAGTGGAGAGTTTTATGACCTTTCATGTGATCATAAAAATGGGCACCATATACTTAAGACCTACTGTACTTGCCAGGACTGTAGTAGATGCTTCACATGAATAAAAACTTTTAAAATCCTAAGAGAAAAATCTTCCTTTCCTCCCCCAAAGTCAGCCACTGTTGTAGAGCAGAAGCCCACAGGTCAGAAACTTGTTTTTCAGACCCTGAAAAAAAATACACTCCGGGATTTCTTCCATCTGAACCTCCAAAAAGTAACTATTTCCGAAAATCCTTATCAAGACATACAAGTGCTTTTATCACCTGGGCTTTCCTGCCTAAATTCTCACCAGTACTGCCCAGTGTCTTCACCCACCTTTCCCCTCAAACACAGCACAATTTGGTGCCTCTGCACATGCTCTTCTCTTCTTTCTTGTTGGAAGAAATCCTATTGTCCTTCAAGACCAATGAAAAGTGTGGCAACATCGAGTCTTCCACCGAGGCTCTTAGTAGCTCACCCACCAGTACTTCACAGAACTGAACTTGGCCTCCTTATAGCACTAACCTTTAAGTATTAATTAGTTGTTCACTTGTTAATCTCCACCAGGCAGGTAAGATTCTTATTGACCTCTACCTACTTTCTCCCCAGCATACAGACTGATGCTTGGTACCTACTAACTGCTAGAGACCTGATTGTCAATGAAGGTTTCGTCTCACCCTAACGAAACCCCACAACACTCTTAAGTTTCTATAAATATCTGAGTAGAAAACGTTAACATGGAATTAGAAAGTATGCTAAAAAAATAAATCAAGAGATGACTGTGGACTGAACTAATGAGTCAAGCCTGGCACATGCAAAGTGACACAGAAAAGTTAAAGAAAAAAAAAAAAAGAATTCTACATTCCCGAAGAAGGGAGAGTTCGCAAGATGAGCAATGGAGAAAACTAATAATATGAGAAACAAGTTGTGCAGCCTCCGGGAAAAGGAATGCGCAGGACTGGCACTCATGAGTGAGGTTCCAGGCACCGAACGGACTGGCCCGGCTGCACAGCCAGGACAAGAAAGGGAAACCGCCTGGTCGGACTCCAAGACGGAGGTGTGCGGTTCTGCCCGGGCGAGCGGGGCGGGGAGAAGAGGAAATGACGAGCCAAAGGGGGTGGTAACGGCGCCGGGCCGGGGACCCGGGCCGAGCGTGCTGAGAGGAGGGGCGCGACGGGGCAGGGGAGTGGGCGCACTAACGGACCCCCTCCCCCGATCCGGGAGACGGCGGGGGCGGGCCCGCAGAGCGCAGAGGCGGGGCAGGCAGGCTCCCTCTCCCCGCCGCGCCCCGGGCCCTGTGGCCGCGGCGCGTACCTTCCCCAGGCCTCACTCGCGACCCGGGGGCGCTGCAGACAGGCAGACCCGGCTCTCGGAGGGCTGGGGATCGCGGGCCCCGCGGGAGACTTCCCGTCCGGAGGGCCGAAGCACGGAGAGTGCAAGGGCGGGCTTCAGTTAGAGGCCCGAGCAATCTGGAGAAGACCGCCAAAGCCCCGGGCGTGCGTGGACCTGAGTGTAGGGACATTCGTGGCAAGCAGGCCACCAACCCCGAGCCTGGGGCCTGACAAACTGGGCCTAAGGACCGGGAGAAGGGGGACGCATCCCCAACTGGCACAGGCCCCCTGCAAGAGTCTGGACCCCGGGTGCTCGCTCCCGAGGGCGCCATCCCCGCGCGGCGCGGCCCCCTGCAGGCCCCGGCCGGGAATGGCCCGGGGCACTAACAGGCCCCGGGCCGGGGCCGCCAGCCGCCCGGCTCGGCTAGGCTCAGCTAGACTCCCGGGGCTCGACGGGCGCCTGGGCCTCTCCTGAGTGGTCAGCGAGACCCGCCAATCGGGGCGCTGGGGCCGGCTCTGGGCCGCTGGATATTGGCTCCTCACACTCACCGTGCCTCGCTCCCCCGGTTCGCTGCCCGCGCTGATTGGCTCCAGTACCGGACCCCGAAACCCAATCAGAGGCTCCAGCCGCCGCTGCCGCCGCCACTGCCGCTGCCTCGCAAAATGGCGAACCCGAACAAAGGGGAATGGGGCCTCCCTCCAACCGCCTCCGCGCAGGCGCCTCTGAGACCACGCCCCCTAACCCCCAGCATCGGGCTCGCCCCACCCCCAGTTGAAGGAGCATCGCGCAGGCGTGCCCTGAAGCCACGCCCACTTCTCTGATTTGACACCATCTCCGGCTGAAGGAATACGCAGGCGCCTTCTAGACGCGCCAGATCCTTGAACTCAAACACCGCCCTAAACATAGTATTACGCAGGCGCTAACTATCTCCTTTGTCAACTGCCCACCCCCTTCTCTGAGGTCGCTGGAGACACACCCCTGGGACTAATGCGCAGGCGCCGTTCTTCCCCACTCGCGGTGGGCTGTCTCGTTACGCATGCCCGGACGGCGGCGGGACATTCCACGGATTTTACCGCCGGAAGTTCGGCGGCCATTACCAAAGAGTGGGAGTTTGGCTGACTAGCTAGAGGGGCTTGTTTCCGCCCGCTCCTGGACCTGGGTGGTGGGCGGCCATTTTAGGTGCGTGCAATTAAGGGCTGTGGCGGGATTGGCTCCGCGTCTAGGTTCGTCCGCTGCTTCCCACCTACCAGGGCCGGATCCGGAGCCCTTCCCCGCGGGGCGGGACCTTGCAGCGGCCGACTCCTTTCCAGGTGAAGGGTAACCCGGGTACGTTGAGGTTTTGAGCCAGCCTTCCCGCTCCTTCCCACCGGACCCCAGGACAGGCCGTACGCCCTCGCTGACCCGCCCTAGGGTAGGACACAGAATGGGAGGCCTCTTTAGACTCCTTCCCCTGTCCCCCGAAGAGCAGGTGGAGGTGAGCCTTCCTTGAGAGGCCGCCTTTCCACCCCGCTTCTTGCAGCTCCGCAGTACACTCCCCTGGTCCGGACACTCCTCGGTTGCGGCTCGACGGGACTGTGGCCAAGTCCCTCCCTTTTTCTTGTGGGCCAAACCCACTGGGGAAGTACTTTTGGTCAGGCCGCGGAGAGGAGACTGTCCTCAAACCGCCTTGCTCGGGCGCGGAGAAGGGAGGTGCCTCCTAGGGACCGCCTTTTCTTCCCCTGGCTGAGCGGAGCGCTCCAGGAGAGCGCGAAATGCGGGCGGGGACCGGCCGCCGCGACCTAGCCGTTCTTCCTCATCCTTGCCCCAGTAGTTTTGTATTACTTCCTAGAGGCTCAACGAGCTCACGTTCAGCGATAAATGGTGGGGGAAGAAATTGCCAAGTGGGTGGTCAGGCAGTTTGAATATAATACATACAGGCCGCCTAAGCATTTTTACTTCCTTTTCCCTTCTCATAGCTGAAGAAACACTTAAGTTCTGGAAATTGCGACTTAGTATCATGGCCGGCAGCCCTAATGAAGATTCAGAAGGAAGCAGAGTGCGTAACAACTATTAACTTATCGGTGAACTGAAATTCAGAATAATTGAGGTCAAAAGCATAAACACTTTTTAATTAAAGCAATGTCTCCCCCCCCCCCCCAGCTGATTTACTTCGGAAAGGCTGATACAGTCCTAGGCAGAAACCATCCATCACTATCCTTGTACACATAACTTTAATTTGTTGTAGTTCCTTAAGTTCTGCAGGTCGGGTTTTAAATCAAAAAGGGACAGTGGTGGGGGACTCAGTAAAGGGAAATGAAAGAAACAGCTTAGTGTTTTTCTGTATCAAATAAAACCTTTTCTTTCCCTTTTCACATTTTAGATCACTTATGTGAAAGGAGACCTTTTTGCATGCCCCAAAACAGACTCTTTAGCGCACTGTATCAGTGAGGATTGTCGAATGGGTGCTGGGATAGCTGTCCTCTTCAAGAAGAAATTTGGAGGGGTGCAGGAACTGTTAAATCAACGTGAGTTTTGAAAAACAGCTGAATTAGTCTGCCTTGTCTAGAGCATCTTGACCTCCTGTTATATTTTAATTGGTAGACAAGGATATACATGCAGAGAGTGGGGTTCCTAACCACTGAGTACTTAATAACTCTTCAGATTAAGGTTTTTCTCTACAAAAGTAGCCTCTAGTTTGGGTCTTTATCACACCAAACTTGAATTCTTGTAAAGGTTTCTAATCTCTTCCTCTGTCTTAAAACTTTTTTGATATTACTCTACTTTTCTGAAACCTTTAATAACTGAAGTGCTTCGCTTCAGTTCCACAGGTATTAACTCAGCATTCAAGATCCTTTGTTTACCCATATTGTACTTACTCTTCAAAGAGGAGTTTAGAAACCTCTTCCTTACCTTTCTCATCACTTTCTACCGAGACTTTAAACCAGAGATACGTGTTAGAACCACCTGTAGAGCTTCTGTAACAGTTGTTTAGAGCATAGTCCAGGCTTATTGGGCCAGTCTCCCCTGGTGATTGCTTTAAAACAATTTCTTAACTTTTTAATCGTAGTTCTTTGTAAACATGACACTGTCTCTTCATTGAAAACTCTTTGGTCATTAGAAACTTTTATATATCTATGTTCTCCACAATGCTTAGCACAATAAATAACCCTTTGTAAAAAAAATCACTGAAGTTTTTAAAGTGAGTATGGGTGTATTTGAAAATATGATCAGGACAAAAGATGGGGTAAGAGGAAAAGAACAAAAAATGAATAAGAAAGCTGGAAGTTAAGGAAGGAGGAAAGTGTTACAGAGTGTTTCTTCAGAATTGAAAATTATTTTTAGCTCTGAAGTGAACTCAGATCTGTAAAGATTTTTTTTTCAAATTGAAGAATGCAGATTGGTGCTTTGTTTTTGTTTTTTTACCTTTCTACTATTAAATGACTTTTTCTTAGAAAAGAAATCTGGAGAAGTGGCTGTTCTGAAGAGAGATGGGCGATATATATATTACTTGGTAAGATGGGGGTCAATTCTCACTATGTCAATTTCTCACTAGGTCATAAGGACTGGTGAACACATGGGCTGTACTGCATTTGTCAATCATGATTCTAGACAACCAAAGATGACAAAAAGCTTCTGATCTCATGCTCACTTAGATCAAGTGGTGGTGGCTCTGTGGAGCACTGGGTTAGAAAGGAACATGAGGCTGCATCTCAGCTCCACGGTGAAGAGTACTGTGACAGCCACCAAAAGCCTCTGTTCTGAGAGTTGGAAAAGTTAGGGATGTCCCACATATTTCAGTTCTCTCCTAATTAGAGTGCGATAGAAACAGTAGGTTCTCAAAAGACAGATTGCCCAAAGGAGTTTTTCTCTCATTCTTCCCTATTGAATGCAGTGCCTAGTATTACTTAACTCCTTTCCTGCCTTTTGCCTCAATGTGGGATTCTTTCACTCTCCAAGTGGTCTTCAGGCCCCAGAAGGAGTGTAGCTTCTTGGTGATGGTGCTAGGTCACTTAGAGCAACCAACCCACTACGCGTCTGATTTGGACAGCACACTGAGTGTGGACATGTCTTAAGGTCTTTGGATGCTCTCCTTAAGGCCGATGTGGCTTCCAGTCTTGTTTGGAACACTACCAATTTCTCTTTGTTCTATAGAGAAACGAAAAGCAAATAAGCATGATTTCTAAATAGACTTAACAGGAAGTTTTCAGGTGGTATGGGTTCTTCCTTGTTGCAGATATATTGCTTATCTCTTGGAAGTGGCACAAAGACTTTGACCTACCTTGCTTAAAAACAATAGACAATAGGCATTGCCTGCTAATATGGGCTTTTTGGGAAAAGGAAAGGTTATCACGTGGCAGTGTCTGGGTTTCTCAGGCCCCGTTTAGTAGATTTTCCTGAGGGCCTCCCATAACTGGAAAAGACAGTATGACATTTGTCATTCTGCTCTGAACTCTTCTATAGAAATACACTTATTTTAATTATCAGGATGTTGGGAGAATGTGATGGCTCTTCTTTGGCTGTCATTTTGGACTAATGAAAGTTTGAATTCATTCTTTGTACTCAGATTACAAAGAAAAGGGCTTCACATAAGCCAACTTATGAAAACTTACAGAAGAGTTTAGAGGCCATGAAGTCCCACTGTCTGAAGAATGGAGTCACCGATCTCTCCATGCCCAGGCAAGGAAATCCAGGGCCCTAAATACTTGTACTGAGTGGTGGGATTTGCTGTCTGTCTTGAAAGCTTAACCCAAAATATAGGCTTAAAAGTGGACAAATTTAAAAACTTCTAAAAATCACCAGTGAACCAGTGATCAGACTTTAGGCCACATTATACCCATTTCTTAGCCTGGGTTGAATGAATCAGGATAATTAAAACACACCTGCTTCAGCCTACTTTGTAGGGAGGATCTGTTGGTTAGTCATCTTTGTTGAATTCTGGGCATCTTCTGCCTGAGGCTGAGGCTCTGTTCTTGAAGCAGTAAAAGCCTAAGAACCAAGACTGAGCAATTGTGATATTCTTCTGGGCCATTTCACGTGTCCCAAGCTTATTAATCTGGTGCAAAGAAGGTTGTAAATTATCACTGCCTTAAACTGCATGCTTGTTGTGGTCAGTGTGGTAGTAGCCAGAGGATAGGTCCCTTATGTAATGTATTAGACCCTCGATATTGGGAGCCTGAGGGAATGGCATTGGGGGTTCAATATCCTCTTTACTTTCTTTTTAGGGAGTAGGCTCTTGGGGTCATTTCTCTTCCTGTCAGTCTAATTTTGAGTCTGTGCTGACCATGCATGCAGGTTTGTTCTAAGCCCCAAGTTACTTATAAATGTGGCTACAAAATCCCTCACTTACCCTGGGCTGTAATGTATTCATGTCTTCTGTATCAGAAACTGTTACGTGTTTTTATCACAATTTTTTTACGGACTTAAATTATCAGACTATATGAAATTAGCAATTTTGAGTCTTTCCCCCTTTAGGGATATTGAGGATCAATAAAGTAACATCTTAGAAGAAAGGTGCCAGGTAGGAGAGTTTTGTGGGCTGACTCAGGTTTCTCACCAGGGTGTTGCAAAGACCTGAACTGTAATCGGCTTGGCATTTCCCAGCATTTCATTTTGATTTCCTTTTTGCCAAGATCTTGTCCTTTGTGCCTCTTTTTATCTTCCTTAGCATTTCATTATTATAAGTGTGTTTTTAAAATCCCAGCTAGTTTTTATCAATAAAGAAGGATAGTGAGTCTCCCGTGTCACCGCAGTCACCCATTTTCTCAAGGTAGCCTCAAACAACTGAGAAGTGGCATCTTATTAGCAGAAGAGAAGTGATAGCTGTTGGACGTTGGGCCATCTAGGAACAGATGAGGTGACTCACAACAGGAATTCACTTCCAAACTCCCACCATGGGTGTGAGACCAGATCATTTGTCTTTATGCTCTGGGTGGGTGCAGCCTAAAGGAAGAGGGAAGAAACGATTTCCTAGGTACCTTCATCACAACCCGTGGAGCTGTTTGTCTTTTTCAGGATTGGATGTGGTCTTGATCGTCTGCAATGGGAAAATGTATCTGCAATGATTGAAGAGGTGTTTGAAGCCACGGACATCAGAATCACTGTGTACACACTGTGAACAGATGCGTGGTGTGGATGTGTGCACGTTCTCCTGTGTGATCCCTGCTGGACCATAGCACTGGACGAACTGACCTGAAAGCAGTCTGAGGAAAGATTCGTGTGAAGTAGTCTGTGTCACAGGCCAGACTTGGGTTGCTGTATTCTCATGATGGGACTGGGACTCTGGAGGAGGGATTGCTTGGGAAATGTTGCTGTGATTTTTTTTTTTTTTTTTTTTCCTTCAGGAAGGTAAGGAGTAGAAATGCCTCATATTAGGCAAGGAAATCAGATGTTGGGCCTCTGACCTGTTTTCATCCAGGATACGACCTGACTTGTTTGGCTTGCCACTAGGTGGCAGCACGGATTCTACTTTTCTGTTGAAGAGACATTGCAGGAAGGATGAACATTTCAATTAGTTTTGCATCTTTTGTCATTTGTGAGCTTGCTTGGTATTATCCTTATGTCATTCTAGGAGAGAATTATGGGTTTTGTTTAAATTACAAAAATGAGTCTTAGGTTGTTAACAAGAAATTTGTGGTGACAGAAAAGGAGAAATAAACATCTTTTTCTTGGGGGTCCAATGAGGTTCTGTGCACACGGCTGTTGTTCTGGACCTGGGTAATGGAGGATTCGCCTGTAACTAATTGGGAAGAATCAGACAAAAGGTCCAGTGGGAAGAGCAGCAGGGTGAGAAGAAATAAGAACGGACAAGAACTGTGGGTCAGCATTACTGGAAAGGCAGATGTTTAGAATCTCCTCATGGTGAACTCTTGCTCTCTTCTGTCTACCACATAGCTTCTGCAATTGAACGGGTCTGAATTCAGTCATGGAATAAATGAAATAATGTATATGAAACATCTGCTGAATTGCTTAGGGCAGAGTAATGACTCAACAAATCAGTGGTTCTCAACAAAATCCTTCCTTAATGAATCTTTTAAGAAAAAGGCCCACTTCCTTCAAAAACTCTAGTTTGGCAGTTTGGGGTGGGGTGGGGGAAATGGCTACGTTTCTTTGTGTCATTAAGCTGCAGAGAGGATTGTGATCATGCAGCCAGCTGGGATGGAAAACAGTACATATTAGTCCCTTTTTCTTCTTTAAGAGAGCAGCACTTGATCCACTCCAGTGTTTACAGTGAGAGAATAGGTTCCTGGATTCGGTATCAAAGGTACTGGGAAAACTAGTGGAATTCTTTTTTACCATTACTGTGGTAAGCTGTTTTCATCTGTGAACAGATGTGTGCTGTGATGTGTCCACGTTCTCCTGTGTGATCAGGAGATTACACCTGGCTAGCTCAGTCAATAGAGCATGTGACTCTTAAGGTTGGGATCGTGAGTTCAAGCCCCACATGAGAGGTGGAACCTACTTAAAAAAATAAAAAGTTAAACTAGCCTGAACTATTGATTTTCTTGCTAGAGTGAATTCTGGGTCTGTTGTAGGACTTGTTGCTTTCCCAAGTGTAAAAAGAACTGGGTTTCAGAAGGGGCTTGTTGAAACACTAGGAAAACACCAGTTAAATATAATCTTTGTACTTTAGACTTGTGTTCTTATCACACTGTAGTGTGATAGGAGGCAGCAGTTTCAAAAAGTATTTCACTTCTTTTGTATCTCTGGAACAGACAAGTTCATGTCGTTGGGGTAGGAGTAGTGTAGGGCCAAGTTCATTGTTGAACTCAGACTGAGGCTTTTGAAGCTTTGCTTTTTTCCACATACAGTAAAACTGAAGGGGAAAAGAGAATGAATACACAATACAGAAAATGAGAGTGGGATGGTAAGGAAACTTAGAATCAAAGTATTTTGCTTAACTATGCAAATAAATCTTTGCTCTTGGCTCAAAACATTGGTTTTTGTAGGATTTAAAGGGATTAAGGTTAATTTTTTTCGTGGAGTATGAGCCTTGATTCTTTGAACAAAGTCTAGTCTCGGGGAGGACTGGCAGTAAGTGGACTTCTGTGACTCAGTGGGGATATGATAAAGTGCTTTGTCATTTGCAGATAGTCTTAGGGTCAAATTCTGATGACTTACCACACTTGAAGCTTGGGAAGAGGAGGCATGGCCTGATAGAATGAGCACATTATTCTTGGAAACCTAGTTAGAGTTTGGCAAACACCCAGAAATTCGTACATGAAGTTTTGCTTCTACATAGGACTCAAGCCTTGGAAGAAAGGAGACTTGATACCATCCTGCTGTCACCATCAAATACCACACATCAACTAATCTTACAGGGTGTGTGTCTCAATGTTGAAATCCTACTTATCCTCTCCTTAATCAAGTGGCTAATTGCTTATTAAGTAGCAATGGGAACATGGATATCTTATAACAGATTTCCCCTGACCTTCGTTTCACCCTCTGCCATATTCCTTGTCTTCAGAGAAGAGAAAAGGCACTCATTTACAAGTAATCTCAAAAAATATTTGATAAAGGTCAAGACTGGGGTGGGAAGTCGGCTTGGGAGAGTTAGTATCCTGTGTTGCCTAGACAAGCCCTGGGTTAAGCCTCCCTCCCACTTTCTCATGTCATGGCTTGGCTCATAGCCTGGGAACATCCCTATTCCTAGGACTTGTTCACTGTTCATAGTAACTTCTAAATGCCCAAGCTCCTTAAAAAACCTGCTCACAGAAAAACCACACCACTTCTTTTATTAATGTTGCTATTTTTCTTAAAAAAAAATCCAACTTCATGTAAAATGCATTTCTGGACATATTTCAAAGATCTGCACAGACCTTGGGTCTGAGGTTCTTTGCCTCAAGCAGCCCATTGGGGGAATAATTAGGCCCTTCTGCCCCCCAGATGCCTGGTGCCCATATGTAGTTGCCATTTCTTTCTTTGTAACTCACTTTCCTCTTTCCCAAGAGCAGCCTTAGGGAGAGCCGTGGCTTAAATGATTTACAGCATGAGTGGTATATTTAGAGTCCTTGGAGGACCTGTGCACTAGGATTGCTTGGTGTCCAATGTTGTCCATCTCAAGTGGTATTAGGAAGTCAGGCATGTCCAAGATGGCCATACATGTCACTGCTGTCTCCTGGTGGCAGCAAGCAGACCTTAGTGAGAAAACAGAAAGCATGTTACCGAGAGCTCGCTGGCCCCAAACAATGAGTTTTCTTTTGAGCTAGGGTTTCTGTGTGCCCTCTGAGCAAGTGTGAATTTCTCCCCCATAGTCTCCTGTGATTTCCACTTTACCCAGCGTTAGGTGTGTTGTGTTCATGTTTTGGTGTGGTTCACACAGGGAAAACCCCAGAAGATACCTCCTTGAGTTAAATATATGGTTAAATTCTATTCTGTCATTTTTTTTTTTTTAAAAGAAGGGAATAAGAAATATAAGGCAAATTTTCTTTAACAAATGCCCATTTCTTAGTATTTTAATTAAGCAGAGTTGTTCTTTTGGGCTTTTAGATTACAACTTGATTTCATGCCAATTTTTTTTTTTTTTAACTTGGTACATTTTAACCTTTCCCTTCAGGAACATGAATAACTCAGAGTACAGGGAAGCATGTTAATGGGTCCAGATAATACGGTTATGTACACTAATGGAAGGAGGCTTATAGTGTGGAACATGTCCAATAATACTTAATTTAAAAATAATTTGACTTGGAAGTGGGCTTTTCCCTCAAACTGATTAATCTGTTTTACTTCCGTTTAGATTAGCATAAAATAGTTTCCCCGCCCCGGCGCGGGGCTCGCGCTTGTGGCCTCGCGGCTCCCCCAGCCCAGCTCCCCCGCCTTCGGAGCCCAGCGCCGCCGCCATGTCTTCCGGGGCCAGCATGAACGCCCTGCAGCGTCTGGTGGAGCCGCTCAAGCTGGAGGCCGGCGAGGAGAGGATCAAGGTCTCGCAGGCAGCTGCAGAGCTTCAACAGTACTGCATGCAGAATGCCTGCAAGGATGCCTTGCTGGTAGGTGTTCCAGCTGGAAGCAACCCCTTCCGGGAGCCCAGATCCTGTGCTTTATTCTAAAGGCTGTAAGGAAGAAGTTCACTGAGGAATGCTTTTAAGCGCAAAGTGATGAATAACTAACTGCCTCCAAGTCTCAAGAAAACACTTTTCTCCAGACAAATGACTTAGATATTTCAGACTTTTCCTTGGCCTGGTCCTATAGCCAAAATTCTATAGAAATTGATGAGTTTCTACTCCGATAAGGAAACTGGGTGAGGGGGAAGACTAGATAATAATGGTCAGACTCTTTTGGTAAAGTGCTTTTATATTAAACAAAAATGTTACCACCAAATACACCTCTTTCATAAGCAAATTATTGGTGTTTCTATACCTGGAATATTATGTTTGTTTTATTTACTGGATGTTTACATTTTGGGAAGGCAAACATTTTTGTTTGTTAAAAAATTGAATATTTGTAATTTGTTCCTAAGATTTTTATACCATAACAAAACTGTTCTTTTCTCCTGAATTTACAGTTTCTTTTTTTTTTTTTTTTTTTTTTTTTTTTTTTTAATTTTTTTATTCTTATGTTAATCCCCTTACATTACAACATTAGTTTTAGATGAAGTGTTCCATGATTCATTGTTTGTGCATAACACCCAGTGCTCCATGCAGAATGTGCCCTCCTAAATACCCACCACCAGGCTAACCCATTCTCCCACCCCCCTCCCCTCTAGAACCCTGTTTGTTTTTCAGAGTCCATCGTCTCTCATGGTTCGTCTACCCCTCCGATTTCCCCCGCTTCATTCTTCCCCTCCCGCTACCTTCTTCTTCTTCTTCTTTTTTTTTTTTTCTTAACATATATTGCATTATTTGTTTCAGAGGTACAGATCTGAGATTCAACAGTCTTGCACAATTCACAGCGCTTACCAGAGCACATACACTCCCCAGTGTCTATCACCCAGTCCCCCCATCCCTCCCACCCCACCCCCCACTCCAACAACACTCAGTTTGTTTCCTGCGATTAAGAATTCCTCATATCAGTGAGATCATATGATACATGTCTTTCTCTGTTTGACTTATTTCACTCAACATAATACCCTCCAGTTCCATCCACGTCGTTGCAAATGGCAAGATCTCATTCCTTTTGATGGCTGCATAATATTCCATTGAATATATATACCACATCTTCTTTATCCATTCATCTGTCGATGGACATCTTGGCTCTTTCCACAGTTTGGCTATTGTGGACATTGCTGCTATAAACATCGGGGTGCACGTAGCCCTTCGGATCCCTACTTTTGTATCTTTGGGGTAAATACCCAGTAGTGCAATTGCTGGATCATATGGTAGCTCTATTTTCAACTTTTTGAGGAACCTCCATACAGTTTTCCAGAGTGGCTGCACCAGCTTGCATTCCCACCAACAGTGGAGGAGGGTTCCCCTTTCTCCGCATCCCCGCCAACATCTGTCGTTTCCTGACTTGTTAATTTTAGCCATTCTGACTGGTGTGAGGTGATATCTCATTGAGGTTTTGATTTGGATTTCCCTGATGCCGAGCGATATTGAGCACTTTTTCATGTGTCTGTTGGCCATTTGGATGTCTTCTTTGGAAAAATGTCTGTTCATGTCTTCTGCCCATTTCTTAATTGGATTCTTTGTTCTTTGGGTGTTGAGTTTGATGAGTTCTTTATAGATTTTGGATACTAGCCCTTTATCTGATATGTCATTTGCAAATATCTTCTCCCATTCTGTCGGTTGTCTTTTGGTTTTGTTAACTGTTTCCTTTGCTTTGCAAAAGCTTCTTATCTTGATGAAGTCCCAATAGTTCATTTTTGCCCTTGCTTCCCTTGCCTTTGGCGATGTTTCTAGGAAGAAGTTGCTTCGGCTGAGGTCAAAGAGGTTGTTGCCTGTGTTCTCCTTTAGGATTTTGATGGACTCCTGTCTCACATTGAGGTCTTTCAACCATTTGGAGTCTATTTTTGTGTGTGGTGTAAGGAAGTGGTCCAGTTTCATTCTTCTGCATGTGTCTATCCAATTTTCCCAACACCATTTGTTGAAGAGACTGTCTTTGTTCCATTGGACATTCTTTCCTGCTTTGTCGAAGATTAGTTGACCATAGAGTTGAGGGTCCATTTCTGGGCTCTCTATTCTGTTCCATTGATCGATGTGTCTGTTTTTGTGCCAGTACCATGCTGTCTTGATGATGACAGCTTTGTAATAGAGCTTGAAGTCCGGAATTGTGATGCCACCGGCTTTGCTTTTCTTTTTCAATATTCCTCTGGCTATGCGGGGTCTTTTCTGGTTCCATACAAATTTTAGGATTATTTGTTCCATTTCTTTGAAAAAAGTGGGTGGTATTTTGATGGGGATTGCATTGAATGTGTAGATTGCTCTAGGTAGCATTGACATCTTCACAATATTTGTTCTTCCAATCCATGAGCATGGAACGTTTTTCCATTTCTTTGTGTCTTCCTCAATTTCTTTCATGAGTATTTTATAGTTTTCTGAGTACAGATCCTTTGTCTCTTTGGTTAGATTTATTCCTAGGTATCTTATGGTTTTGGGTGCAATTGTAAATGGGATCGACTCCTTAATTTCTCTTTCTTCTGTCTTGTTGTTGGTGTATAGGAATGCCACTGACTTCTGTGCATTGATTTTATATCCTGCCACTTTACTGAATTCCTGTATGAGTTCTAGCAGTTTTGGGGTGGAGTCTTTTGGGTTTTCCACATAAAGTATCATATCATCTGCAAAGAGTGAGAGTTTGACTTCTTCTTTGCCAATTTGGATGCCTTTGATTTCTTTTTGTTGTCTGATTGCTGTGGCTAGGACTTCCAATACTATGTTGAATAGCAGTGGTGATAGTGGACATCCCTGCCGCGTTCCTGACCTTAGGGGGAAAGCTCTCAGTTTTTCCCCATTGAGAATAATATTTGCTGTAGGTTTTTCATAGATGGCTTTTATGATATTGAGGTATGTACCCTCTATCCCTATACTCTGAAGAGTTTTGATCAAGAAAGGATGCTGTACTTTGTCAAAAGCTTTTTCGGCATCTATCGAGAGGATCATATGATTCTTGTTCTTTCCTTTGTTAATGTACTGTATCACATTGATTGATTTGCGGATGTTGAACCAACCTTGCAGCCCAGGGATAAATCCCACTTGGTCATGGTGAATAATCCTTTTAATGTACTGTTGGATCCTATTGGCTAGTATTTTGGTGAGAATTTTTGCATCCATGTTCATCAGGGATATTGGTCTGTAATTCTCCTTTTTGATGGGGTCTTTGTCTGGTTTGGGGATCAAGGTAATGCTGGCCTCATAAAATGAGTTTGGAAGTTTTCCTTCCGTTTCAATTTTTTGGAACAGTTTCAGAAGAATAGGTATTAATTCTTCTTGAAATGTTTGGTAGAATTCCCCTGGGAAGCCATCTGGCCCTGGGCTTTTGTTTTTTGGGAGATTTTTGATGACTGCTTCAATTTCCTTAGTGGTTATAGGTCTGTTCAGGTTTTCTATTTCATCCTGGTTCAGTTTTGGTAGTTGATACATCTCTAGGAATGCATCCATCTCTTCCAGGTTATCTAATTTGCTGGCATAGAGTTGCTCATAATATGTTCTTATAATTGTTTGTATTTCTTTGGTGTTGGTTGTGATCTCTCCTCTTTCATTCATGATTTTGTTGATTTGGGTCATTTCTCTTCTCTTTTTGATAAGTCTGGCCAGGGGTTTATCAATCTTGTTAATTCTTTCAAAGAACCAGCTCCTAGTTTCGTTGATCTGTTCTACTGTTCTTTTAGTTTCTATTTCATTGATTTCTGCTCTGATCTTTATGATTTCTCTTCTCCTGCTGGGTTTAGGCTTTATTTGCTGTTCTTTCTCCAGCTCCTTTAGGTGTAGGGTTAGGTTGTGTACTTGAGACCTTTCTTGTTTCTTGAGGAAGGCTTGTATTGCTATATACTTTCCTCTTAGGACTGCCTTTGCTGCATCCCAAAGATTTTGAACAGTTGTGTTTTCATTTTCATTAGTTTCCATGTATTTTTTTAATTCTTCTTTAATTTCCTGGTTGACCCATTCATTCTTCAGTAGGATGCTCTTTAGCCTCCATGTATTTGAGTTCTTTCCGACTTTCCTCTTGGGATTGAGTTCTAGTTTCAAAGCATTGTGGTCTGAAAATAGGCAGGGAATGATCCCAATCTTTTGGTACCGGTTGAGACCTGATTTATGACCTAGGATGTGGTCGATTCTGGAGAATGTTCCATGGGCAGTAGAGAAGAATGTGTATTCCGTTGCTTTGGGGTGGAATGTTCTGAATATGTCTGTGAAGTCCATTTGGTCCAGTGTGTCATTTAAAGTCTTTATTTCCTTGTTGATCTTTTGCTTAGATGATCTGTCCATTTCAGTGAGGGGGATGTTAAAGTCCCCCACTATTATTGTATTGTTGTTGATGTGTTTCTTTGCTTTTGTTATTAATTGCCTTATATAATTGGCTGCTCCCATGTTAGGGGCATAGATATTTACAATTGTTAGATCTTCTTGTTGGATAGATCCTTTAAGTATGATATAGTGTCCTTCCTCATCTCTTATTACAGTCTTTGGTTTAAAATCTAATTTGTCTGATATAAGGATTGCCACCCCAGCTTTCTTTTGGTGTCCATTAGCATGGTAAATGGTTTTCCACCCCCTCACTTTCAATCTGGGGGTGTCTTTGGGTCTAAAATGAGTCTCTTGCAGACAGCATATCGATGGATCTTGTTTTTTAATCCAGTCTGTTAGCCTGTGTCTTTTGATTGGGGCATTTAGCCCATTTACATTCAAGGTAACTATTGAAAGATAGGAATTTAGTGCCATTATATTGCCTGTAAGGTGACTGTTACCATATATTGTCTGTGTTCCTTTCTGGTCTATGTTGCTTTTAGGGTCTCTCTTTGCTTAGAGGACCCCTTTCAAGATTTCCTGTAGGGCTGGTTTTGTGTTTGCAAATTCCTTTAGTTTTTTTTTGTCCTGGAAACTTTTTATCTCTCCTTCAATTTTCAATGACAGCCTAGCTGGATAGAGTATTCTTGGCTGCATATTTTTCTCATTTAGTGCTCTGAATATATCCTGCCAGTCC